GAATAAATGTGAAGAGCATTTAGTTCTTTTAATTGATCAATTATCTATTATCTCAACTCTTTCCGTTTTTGAATTGTAGGCGTACCAAATTTGTAGTAAACTTTTTCAAAGAGAAAGTTGATTAAGAGAATCAATCAAAATCCCTTGCACCCCTGCTTCCAAGTTTGGTTACAAGATTACAACTCTGGAGAGCATTTTGTGTGGTCGTTGGTTCTGAATATGGACAAACAAGCACAGATATAAAACAGCAAAAAAAGGTTATCTTCCATTTAATTCCACTTAATTAATTTTGGTATCCATGACAGATACGTATTTCGACTACAATGTGCAGTCTTCATCAGTGTCATTCCCACTAAAGAATACAGGTTAAAGCAGAATGATGTGCAACCAAGTGGTATAAAAGCTACTAAGACTCCTCCCATTATGAGTAGTTTGCTATCAAGTAGCGACACTGGCTCTTTTCTTCTTGCGTACACGGCGAATGAGAAAGACCCAAATTTGAGTTTAGTTCACTCATAATCGACAAAAATGCAGGAACTCAGCGATGAGTAAATTTGTCTCATGGTTTCCTGTGGAAAACCTAAAAAATCTGCCAGAAAATGAGGAAGTTGACGAAAATTTTATTCAGTCTCGAAGTAGTACCAATAAACTGAGTGGATCCAATCTTTACTTTTCTCAAATCTGGAAAAACATGAGGCAAATTTACTCATCGCTGATTTCCTGCACTTTTTTTTCTTATTTCTGAGATAACTAACCTCAAATTTGGGTCGTTCTCATTCACCGTGATATCACCTTGAAAGATATCGGCGCTGGTGATTAGCGTGATTACCTCTCATCCCAGCAGGCCTGGGTCCAATCTCAGTCGGCGCCACCGGCATGTTCTAAGGCATAACATCTCTGATCACGCCTTCCTTCGGGAAGTAAAGCCGTTGGTTCCCGGTTGAGTTGATGGGTGGATTGGTAGGGTCCAGGTGTGGGGGCTGCCTCCCTGGCGTCGGTAGCATTGGAGCTCAGTACGGAAAACAAATCTCGCGTCACTTTTCAATAGGTCCTATCTACATTGATCGATTCTCTTCATCGACACTCTCTTTCGTAAATAACTCGGCTTCACAAATGTTTCCTGCCGTCTTCGTCGAATTAGATGCTAGATTGTTGCTTCTTCCATCGAAAATATCCGGCCGTGGCGATTCAAAGTTGATCAAGGTTGATCAAAATAATTTGTACCCCTGCTTCCAGTTTGATTACATGAGCATTTTGTGTGAACGTTGGTTCTGAACTTGGTGGCCCTGAAAAGAGCCGTTTTGTTGCCAAAGTTGGTGATGATTTAACCTCCGAAACCAAACAGAGTGCGTCTCTGTCACTTCAAAACGTAGATGACATCCATGGCCACTTACGCGTGGCGTGTTTAGTGTAGGTGACAGCATCATTTCATTTTTCAGGAACACCTTCAGCACACCTCGTAAATCAGACCGGAGATACGTCAGACACCGCCACGGTGAGCCAGACGACGGATGGTGGTTATCTTGAAGAATTTGCGTTTGGTTCTGAATATGGCGATGAGTGTGCAAAATATTACGCAATTCCATCCTCCCTATTCGTACGCGCCCGAGGATCGGAGGCAAATGCCACTTCGACTTGTTTCGTCTACATACTACTCTCTGACGACTGTGCTGGGGAAGCAGCATATGCATATAGGTAATTGGTGGATTTGTTAGTTAATTCGACGCGTTTGGACAATGCTGGACATTTACCAGTTTTTCTATAATTTCTTGTTGAAAATCAACATTCGGGAAATACCAGCTGGCGATTTGTTTTTTGAAAACAAATTATTTGTTACTTGAAAACAGGCAAAAACTCACAAACAGGCTGCTTTATCATGGTATACAGTGTGATAATTCAATAATCAATAAATTATCTCAACATTTAGTGGCAAACCATTTATAAATTTTGATAACATACAAAAAATTCTATTAACCACATTAAATTTCATATGTAAGCGCCGATTGAAACAATCTTTTCGACGTCACTGCAAGGGTGATTGATTAAACGAAAGAAATGAATCGTACGGAATGAAAGCCGAGGAAAAACTAATTGCCTACAATTCCACACCTTCTATAGACAGGTTGAGCCTTGATAGCTAGCTGCTTGCGGGAACTGATGACCTTGACCAATGTCCAAATAATACTCTTGGTAATACTTTTTGGTGGCCCTGAAAAGGACCGTTTTGTAGTGATGGTTGAGTAATTCTGAGCTGGGTGTCCAACACGGATGAGGCTGTCGAACTGTATGTCGTTTGGAACGAGGGTGACACGCTTGGCATAGATGACTCACGAAGAGCTACTGATTCCGATCCATAGCATAACGGTGCAGCTTCTTCCTCCTTTGATGGTTGCTTATGTGGGCTCTGCAGCTCGTCTTGCGTTGTTACTGCAGAACAATTTTCAACGCCACACGCCGAAAGAACCGCTACTGCTGCTACTGCTGCTACAAATTTCAACGACCGAACACCACCACACAGTGGTGTGGCCGTTGGGAGCGTGTGGTTCGGAGTATGGCGATGAGTGTGCAAAACATTACGCAATTCCATCCTCCCTATTCGCACGCGCCCGAGGATCTGAGGCGAATGCCACTTCGACTTGTATCGTCTACTTACTACTCTCTGACGACTGTGCTGGGGAAGCAGCATATGCATGTAGGTTAGACTGATGCAAAATTTGAAATTTTCGCTCCACAGTGTTCAAACGGTTTCAAATCAGGCCCTGATTAGCCTCCGAAATTTAAAACTCATTTGATAAGAAACTGACTTGGCACAAACCATTTTAAGTTTATATGGAAATTACTTTGGGAAAACAAAACTTTTTGTTCATTGTCTTCTAGCCTTTTTACATATTGTACTGTTAACAAATTATATTGCTATTCTAATGGGAATTTTTATCAGCTACAACTTTGCAGAATAAAGTTTTTAAGCCAAACGTCAAATTAAATAGTTATTAATTGTTTAAGAGATTAATAATCTTATGGCAAGATCAAGCAACTGTAATGTGGGCAACTCTGTATTCTGCAGTGTGACATAGTAGCCATGATTTTTGTCCTCTATTCTACGCGCCATAATCACCAATGTTGCCTTCTGAACAGTTGAATGAGCATAATAATTAGGCATCAGTGACTTGAATCATTAATAACTTTTGTTCCTTACATTTGATCGAAAAATGGTCTTCAACAAAGTTTTTTGACAAGCTCAGCTATCATTTTCTAAAGTAGAGTGCACTGGTGAATTTTGAGATAGATATGAATCGAAATTATGGTTTCTCCATAGTAATTCCCATATAATCTTCAAATGGTTTGTGCCAAGTCAGTTTCTCACTAAATGAGTTCAAATTTTAAGAGCCTAATCAGGGCCCAATTTGGAACCGTTTGAGCACTGTGGAGCAAAAATTTCAAATTTTGCATCAGTCTAATGTAGGTAATTCGTAGATTTGTTAGTTAATTCGACGCTTTTGGACAATGCTGGACATTTACCAGTTTTTCAATAGTTTCTTGTTGAAAATCAACATTCGGAAGCATTGTTATCGATGCGTAGCCATATTTCTGATCGATTGGTGATAAAGTTATTGAAATTGGACCAGGGGCAGCTGAGTTATTAACGTTCAAAATCTTTCTTAATTTGTTACATGTTCCATTTTCGGTTGTCACAAAGTGTACCCCCATATAGAAATCAAATACGTAGACGTAGTTCTTTAAATTCCGATTACATTACCGATTAAATTCCGAATTCCGAAATTACCGATCATTTTGTTGCAAACATAGGCGGATTTATTGGAAAAATCCGAACAATTTTCCCCCAGCTTACGGTACCTTCAATGTTTCAATTCAAGATAACCATCCTCATCGGTCGTGTTATGTCTGTGCAATTAAATTGATAAGCACTGAACGCGATTTTTTTATGAACCCGACTAGGTAAGATAACGCATTAATTGCATATTCAGATAGTCTACGCGGAAGATAACATGGGCAAGGCGCATGGAACAAAACAGAGTACGAAATGTTGGACTTAGAGACTTTCTATGACGGTTTTTATTAGGCAGAATGGTTAGATTCAAAGAGTTCTACGTCAATTCAAAACAGCACTGGAACACTGCGATCACATTGGCTTAAATCACCATTTTAGCACCCCTTGGTGAGCTGTCAATTTGTTAGTTGTCTGTCAAAAAGCGAAGTGATTATTTTGAAGTATGTTCGATTTAAAAATCATTATGCTCACGAAACGAAGCTTTTTCAGCAGTAACAGATACCTATATTTTTTTTTTCAAAATTAAAGAGCCGAATTGGAACCGAAATCTAAAATTTCATCAATTTTGGTACAATGGAAATATTTTAAATTAGTGCTGTTACATTAAAAAATCACCATCTTAGCACCCCTAGGTTGGATTTTGTATGGGAGTGTCAAACAGTGAAGTTATTCGAGATGAAAGTCTAAGGGTTAGAATAAATATCGTTGTGCTCAGAAAACGAAACCGTAAAAACCGATATTTTTTTCAAAATTAAAGATCCCAATTGTGCGGGAAATTGATACTGACTTGATAATGCCATGAGTGTAAACTTGAATCTCATTTCACATAATCTAGGCACTAGAGAGAAGTATTCCTTACAAGTTTGCTAGCAAGATGGGTGTTTCGTACAATATTTAAGATCTTCCATTACATATCTCATGACTTTACACGTTATTTTTAAAACGTGTGTAACGTAAAGCGCTCCATTTATGTGCATCATAATCAATTTAAATTTACTCTACTTGTTCCATCTATGCAGGTTTGAGATAACACTATGAAATGTTTCCCTTGTTGTGGGGATTCCTCTTGGCGATGGTTCCCAACTCAAATGGGTGCGATGGGTCAAAAACGATTCGTTCCATCTAATAACATTTGCGTGCTAACAAAGCAGATGCTATAAAAGTCCAATAAACCGGTTGTTTTGTGTCGAAGTTGTACGTCGAGCGATCGTCTGTTGCTTGGTTTATCAGTTGGACGGTCGCGCTCATTCCGTTAGGATGATACAGATTTTTGGTGCAGTTTGGCTGCTATCAGCTCTGTTGGCCTCTGCTTTCAGTGCAGATGATATCGCGGTCTCGTATAAAAAGTAATTTGCGCTTAGTTTGTTTTATGTGACAGTAGCTGACATTCTGTTTTTCAGTTATAAACTGTACGATGTGCAACCGTCGACACGTGCTGAATTGGAGCTGCTTCACCGGGTGAGCAGCGAGTTGGATTTGGATTTCTGGAGTCCGCCTGCTCTTGATCGAAATTCATCGGTGATGGTTAGTCCTTGGAACGATGATTCATTGAGGGCGTACCTGAGTGATCATAACGTCAAGCATCGAGTTTTATACGACGACGTTCAAAGTGTGATTGATCGTGAACATGTTTACAACCAAAACCGTGCTCGCAAGCGTCGTAGCGTTGAACAGACTGACAAAAGAGCTAGTTTTGATTACTTTTGGTCCATGGACGAGATCTATCAGTACTTGGACTATCTTGCGTTAGAGTATCCAAGTTTAGTGCGCTTGAAGGACTACGGTAAATCATATGAAGGCCGCCCGATAAAAGTCATCACTATCAGTACTAACGGAGAGGTGGATGATTTTCGTCCAATTGTGCTAATTGACGGTGGAATTCATGCTCGGGAATGGGCGGGGCATATGTCTGTGCTTTACCTGATCCATCAATTGGTGGAGCGTTCTGCGGAGAACATGGATCTGTTGAACAAAACCAACTGGGTTATCATGCCGGTGGTTAATCCGGATGGCTATGTGTACACGTATGAACATAATCGATTGTGGAGGAAAAATAGAGCACCAGTCAATATGCTCTGCATCGGAACGGATTTGAACAGGAACTTTCCATTTAGGTGGAAGTATTATGGTAGTGTAAGTATCAATTCTCCTTCACATGGTTGTCATCATACTGAACTACACCGATTTTAGCAATGTTCATCTGGATATGCAGGTCCCACACCTGGATCAGAGTTGGAAACACGAGCCGTCATGCTGATGATGGCGAATTATGCAAAAGCTACCAAGGTCTACTTGGCGGTACATTCATGCGGAGACTACATCCTATATCCCTATGGGTACGACTACGTTGATGCACCGAATAAGGTTCAATTGCAGGAACTGGGAGACAAGGCCGCTGAGGCCGTCAAAGCGATCGGTGGCCCTGAATATGCCGTCGGAAGTGCATCTTTCTTGCTCTATCCAGCCAACGGAAGCGATGATTTTATCTACGGTAGCTACGGTGTTGAGTACGTATACACGCTGGAATTGTCGTGTGGCGCCATGGTCAGTGATGGATTCATTATCAGTGTTGCGGAAATGCAGAAAATTAGCAAGGAAGCCTTCGAGATGTTCAAAGTATTCGGCAAATTTGCCGGTGAACAGAAAATTATCCCATTGGGTTCGAATCGTAAAAATAATACAGCTCCGTAGTCCTTATCGGACATGAATTGATCAATAAATCGCAAACGAATAAACAATAAATACACAACACTAATTTCAATGCGTTCTTATCGGAACGGAGTCAATCCGGTGTCCAAGATAATCGATTCCGCTGATAAGTCACGTCGTCCAAGTCGTCTACTTCAATCGAGTCATTTGAACGGTCGTTAGTTTCTACATAAAGTTCTACCGGGCAAGATGAAACTGTGGCTACCGGTGTTGGGATGCATGCTTCTGGCACTAGCAGCTGGAACGTACGGGATAGAGTTTACCGAGTAAGATAGGCCGAACGCGTCGCAGTGGATTTTTTTTTGTTTTATCCAATCACGGGTGCCACGTGCTTCTGTTTGCAGGTTTCAGTTGTACGTGATTATTCCAGAAACGCGTGAGCAGCTGGATCAGTTGCACGAGCTGGTAAAGGATGATAACTACGACTTCTGGGATGTTCCACGGTTGAACCGAAAGGCTCGGGTGATGGTGAGCCATTACGCAGAGTCGAAGTTTGAACAGTTTCTGGAGCAGCACGATATTGAATTTGATCCGATCGCAGACAACGTTCAACAGTAAGTATTCGTACCCATTGAAAAGAGCGTATTGAATGATTTTTCGTCCACGGGATTAGCACCTAAATAATAAGCCTGCTGACTTTATTGTCTTTCTGTTGGTAGGCAATGAAATACAATTATCATCAACAAACTATAGCTGAAGTAACGTAATATAGGCTGTCTTGCAATGAGCAGTCATACAACTAGTTTTCCCTAGGAAATTATATGTTTGACTGCTCATTGTAAGACAGCCTGTATTACGTAATATCAGCTAAAGTTTGTAGGGGGATACGGGGTAAGATGGTCACCCTAAACATAAAGTAAAATTTAACCAAAACGGTTTAAAATTTCCGCGATCAATAGATCTTTAGGGTAGGGATAAGAGGGGTATAGTGAGCACGTGGGGCATAATGAGCATCCCTTAATCCAGGCTTAAACTTTTAATTGTTTCTAACAAATTTATTGGTAGTAGGTTCAATATCACCATTGCAATGATTAATGACCAATTAATTTGTTTCGAACGAAAAGAAATCCAAGGCTAAAGCACAAGAAGCTTACTATGCCCCTCCTGCCCCTACTCTCCCTTATTACATTGATTTTCAGAAAATTTCATTTTCATTTGATAATGTTTTAATACGAACCAAGAAATACTAAATAATAAAAAAAAAAACAAACGGGGTAAGCTGGCCACATGCAATGTCACATGATCCTGGCCAACAAAATTGCACAGTACACACTTAGAAAATATTACCGAACTCGGTTTGATTTCAACCGAGTTTTTATCTGCTGAACGCTCGGTAGTCTGTTCGGTTAAAAAAAAAATAACCGAGCTGTCGTTAGTTCTTTTTGCTACTCACAATCTGTCAAAGTTACCGAAAATCTCGGTTGACGAAAAATAAACATCGGTTTACTTAAGAATTACCGAACGCTGTCAAACAAACCGACACACCTGTTGTAATTAATTATATGATTTGAGTAGTAGCTATTCTGAAGATCCGAGAGATGTCGCCCCTTCAGTGGTAGGAAAATCATTTTTGCAGTATGGAGAATATAAAAAAATCCACGATTTGTGACTAAACATGCTTTCACAGAAGGAAACAAATAAACGAGTGTTTACCTTATCGCCATAGTAATTTACTCGTGCAATTTTTGTGCATCTAAAACTGCCCATAAAGGCGATAATGAATAAAAACTGAAAATTTTCATGCATTTCCAAATGGTTTCCTACCATTCCCATACATTCAAAAGTGACTGGCCCTCTGGATGTGGATGATGTCAAAGCTACAAAACATGATTAATTATGGAATTCGGTTTTCACTTCAAATCCTGCTTTGAATTTTGATTAAGGATACGTTGCTTCGAATTTTAATACAAATAAAATCAGTTTTGTAAAAGAAATGCATGAAATATATTTATTTAATTTGTTTTGGCGAATAAAAACTTCCGTAACGCGAAATACAGCGTGAAAAAGTACAATCAAAATATATCACTGACTTTGAAGTCATTCCTATTCAAATGGCTTTTGAAATGCCTTTGCAAGCCAGAGACATAACCTTGCATATTTTCACGGCAAGAGAAACAAACTATAGCACAAGATGCCTGCTAATAAAACTATACCGTTAGTTTCAAATACTCACAAAAGATCTCAATCAAACGTGCATCCTCCTGTTGCAGCTGCTCCAGAACTTTTTCCATTTTTACTTAAGTTTTGCACACGTCCGACGAGCACACGCGAGAAAAAATGGCTGCCTAATTTTAGACTCAGCTTAGAGCAACCTGGTCTATACAAGGTGTGGAATTGATGGCCTGTACATATTGGTGCAGTTCGTTTTTCACTCGGTTTACAGTCGGCTTCGCACGATTTGCTTCTTTCGACGCTCAAACACGCTCGTAGCTACGTCATAACGTTTGTTTCAATCAGCGTTTGCATTGGATATTGAATATGAATTATAGAATGTCTGTATGAAGCCAAAATTTATGAATGTTTTTCTACTGAATGTTGAGATAATGTATTGATTATTTTATTAGCACACTGTATACCATGAAAAAGCAGCCTGCTGGTGAGTTTTTGCCCGTTTCCAAGTAAGGAGTTCCTATAATAATACAAAACGCCTGCTGATATTTTCCGTAAACTTTACAAAAGCATACAAGCAAGCGCAATCATCATGCAAACATATCTAGAATTTGCTGTACTTCATATTTCACAAATTTTCTTTCGACTGCTATGACGTCGTGGTCATCCTCTCCCGCAATGTTTACCTTTTTCCCACTACCAACACATACGTGAGGGCTAGATCTCCACACCTTGTATAGACCAGGTTGCTTTGGAGAGGGATGGTGAGGGGTGTCCCCCCGCCACCCGTGTCCCCTCGAGATCGTCAAGTCGACGATGACAGGAGCACATATCGTGGTAGGGGTAAACAATAGTTGCAATTTCCAAACCTACGACTGGATGCCTTCCTTCAAATAACAACTAAAGTGCGGTAAAAAATCGGTAGAACTGTTTCAAACACACAGTTGGTACTTGAGCGGGTCGATTTTCATCTCTTTTTGCCAGTGGTGGCGGGGGGACACCCCTCACTATCCCTCTCCAAAGGGGGAGTTTGGTAAAGAGAGATGAAAAAACCGATTTGTACCTTCCTTAAAAGTTGTTCTAGCTCGCTATTCTAATATCTATATGCAATCTTCACACTGCCATACTCTAACGGAACTATCAACTCTATGCTTTCATCTACTCCATCTATCGTATAAAAATTACCACTACAGTCTGTTATTTGAAATTAGCATCTTCAAACAAAATTTCTTGAAAATTAACCTTTGCGTCTCTGACGTATTTTGCTTTCCTAAATGTTGGCTCTAGTTTTCTCAATTTTTTTGCTGTCCTAAATTTGGCTCTAGTTTTCTCAATTTTTTACCGATTCAAACCAAACACCCTGCACATAATCGAGAAATTACCATAGTTTCATAAGTCACACTTGTTTGTCACGTCGCGGTTCTGTATTTACATGGTTATTCCTTGGGGTCTGTCCAATGGTGAGACATTTTCATGATATCTTTTTTTAATTCTAATATGAACCTATCACTTTTTCCGAATCGTATTTATATATGTGACTACACAATGATACACAAGCACGACTTATTACTATGTATACCGAAAATTATAGGTTTTCCAAATTGTCCAGGACATCAGTTGAATTGTCTACTAGGTCAACCAAGACTGTAATAATGTGTAGTATGGAAAAATGTCCAATCAGATTCAAAGTGTATATGTGGATCATGCATGATCTATTTCCGAGTAATCCAGATGTTCAAGGTTCTTCAAATCGTCCTGGAGTTCAGATAATTTGATCTACTATATCAACCGAGATTGGGACAATGTCTTTAGTATCGAAATATTTCCAGACAGATGCACTGGGTCTATGTGGATCATGCATGAACTATTGCCATGTATACCAGATATTTTAAGTTCTCCAAATCGTTCTGGAGTTCAGATGATTTATTCTACTAGATCAACCATGACTGGGATAAAGTCTGTAGTACAGAAATATATCCAAACAGATTCATAGTGTCTATATGGATAATGTTTAATTATTTTCACGTATACCAGACGATCTAGGTTCTCCAAATCGTCATGCAGTTCAGATGATCTGTTTTACTTGATCAATAAAGACTGGGATAATACTGGTACTATTGATATATCGATTTGAAAATCCTAGAACATTTTGGCATACACGGAAATAGGTTGGCATGATCCACATAGACACTTTGAATCTGTTTGGATATATTTCGATACTACAGACATAATTGCAGTCCAGGTTGATATAGTAGAACAAATCAACTAAACTCCAGGACGATTTACAGAGCCTAGAATATCCGGTATACATGGCAATTACTCGCAAATACGATTCGTTTATGATTTGATAACGAAAAATTTTATGCTTATATTGGAGATAAAAAAAAACAATGAAAATGTCTCACATTGGACAGACCTCAGGGAATTTCCGTGTAAATCCGGTGTGACTTATGGAATAGAGATCATTTCTCGATTATTTGCATGGTGTTTGGATTTAATCGGTAAAAAATTGGGAGCCACATGAACAACAAAATTTATGACAGCAAAATAATCCGGGACGGAAAGGTTACAATGAATTCCACAATTTTTGTGGCAGCACATCAGTCCCTTCGCGATTTTCGCGACATCATTTAATGTTTCCGCGATTTTCGCGACTGAAAGCTCAAATACGCGACAAATCCGCGAAAATTGCAAAATCATCGAAATTCGGGAAATCCGCGCCTGTTGTAACAGCCCTGCAAATTGTCTTGCATTGCCATGGTCATGTAGGGGGAGGTTCACGTCTAGTGCTTTCCAAAGGAACCTTCCGCGGCCACCAGCTACCACCCGTCCATTCTTGGCCGTATCCAGTGAGGCATCTTTCATATTGCTCGCAATCTCCGACACCGGCGAGAGACCAGCAGCCGAGCACTTTTGCAAGTGGAAAACTTACTGATAAACGGCAACGTCGGCCACCGAATCACCACCAACACTCGCGACGGACGCGTAATCAGCACGTTCTCGGGCTAATTCACCAACCGGACCGAGTTCAAAATCGCCCACGGTGACGAATCTCTCAATAGAACTACACGCCGAAAGTGTGCCACCCGAACTCGAAGAATCGGGCTCCTGGGAGGCACTGAAAACCTACACCGAACAATATAATTTAAGCTGCGTCGTAGATTTTGGAGGTTAGATTCAAGGTCAACCGAGTCACTCAAGGCAAACACAGGCAACACACGATATATCACTAAATGCTAACTTTATGAACACTTGAAACTAAATTTCAGCATACAAATTAACAAATTTAAAGCAAAAATGTTTAATTCTCTGACGAAAAATACGCAGCAAAAGAAAAACACGTCAGCTTTCAAGCGCAGCCTACTGCGATCAGACTCATTTCGTAAATGCCTAGATCAGTGCTGCAAAATCTCGACAGTACACGGTGATATTGACAATTCTGCTT